ATAACTAAATTTCAACTTCTCAATTTAAATAACTTATGCTTCCTTCCTTAATGTCAAACCTTATCAACAAAAACCCTAACAAATAATAAATACGAAAACAATTTAATTAGTTTGAGAATATAAATTCTATTACACCACATATAAAAGAATGAACTTAGCATGAAAGAGCAAAATGTTATATATAAGTGTTATCTTCTTGCCTCCAATGTAATCCTTTTAAAATTCTCAGTTAACTACATACTCTACATGTTATGGTTAAAACATAAAAAGGATTTTATAATTAACTATGTACAGCAAAAAGTCATGAAATCTAAACCTTGTCAAACATAGATAACCATAACCCTAAAGTTTTAAATGTTGATTGCTAAAACAAACTGGATAATCAATGTACAATGAGTAACTTTGGTAATTACGTAAAAATCAAGTCTACAAATGAGGGTAATACTACTAACGTGCTTCAATAGAAAAGTGGTCATAGCCTGTAATGTATCTTTTTTTTTTAAAAAAAAAAAAAAGACTCTAACAGTAAAATCAAGAATAAGAAGCATTAGATATGGGAGCATTTTTACAATGTACATTGAGTAATACCACTCCAAAGTGCTATTAAGAAATAAAAGAAAAAAGTTGCATTTAATATTCATCATTCAAACGTGCTTACAAGACAAAGCTGTGTTGATACTAGATAGAAACCAGTGACATCACTAATATTTCAGTTCTGGTTCTGATCTAGCTTGCTTTAGGGAAAATCTAAGGAAACTTGTATCTCCACACCTCATAAGTCAAATAAATGCTATATAGCTTCATATATAGGACACTAAAAATCCCATGACCTGTAACATTCGATGCTATGTTACAGGCCAAAATTTAAAATCCATCATCTCAACTTACGCTAAAACTTATCAAGGTCTCATTTTCTGTTAGCCAGTTTTATTGAAATTGAAAAATATAAAGTACATTTGGTTATTGTTAGAGGACAAAGGCCCAATGAAAGAAATTGAATGCACATAATAAACTATATTTTCTCAGCATCAGGAAAACAAATTTTGCTTTCTCATACAGTCTTATTGTAGATACGTAAAGTGATCAAATTAGTTAGTAATGTAAAGTTTCATTTAAGTATCGTACCCACACATAAATCAATATTGTATTCCCTATGATTGTTTTTGGTGGTGGTTGTGGTGAGAAGAGAATGATAGAAATGCTTGGTTGGAAGCGGGAATGGCCACGGCATAGTCACTTGTATTTCATGTAATTTACAGTATGGTTTTCACATGAAAAAGAAGATATTCAAATTACTTTAGTTGCAACCTGTTACCTACCAATTTATGTATAAGCGAGGAATATCACATCATGCAGCCAGTACTTTGAAACTTGTCTAATCATCATAGAAATTTAGTTTGCGACATGTTTGGGCAATCACCCAATGAACATTGCATAACCATTCCACATCTAGGGAACCCCAAAAAGCAAACCTCACAGAAAAATGAAACAAAAAAAGCACGATCCACTACTTAATGTGAAGTGGACCTTGCGTGTGGTATATGCATATCTTTACATAGATCTTTACATCTACAACGTCTTTGACCACTGTATAAAAAAACACCCAATAACCACTGTGTAAAGCATTAGCCATTGTAGCATTTATTCTTAATCTTGACTAATATAGGTATTAAAACATTAAAATATAAATGAAATACTCTTCTGCAGCATAGGGCAGGTTCACGTGAAGTGCAAGGGATTAAAAAAGAATCAAATATAATGCATGAACATCTGATCAAAGATTATGCAAAAGACAAAACAAATGAGGGAGGGATTAAAAAGAATCATCAAATATAATATATGAAATAAAAGAGTTATCAACACCTTCCATCAAACTGCAACACTGATGGGACCAAAAACTATAGAACAAACTTATCATATACATAGCAACAACAACTCTCAAACAACCATCAATTAACCATCATATTTTTCTTCATTTGTACAAAAGTAGAAAACATGGTTTTCTTCAATCGGGACCAGTTCAGCGGCATATACTATTCCTGCGGGAGTGTGTTTGCCTAATTATATTTGTGTAGAGTGGAAAAAAAAAAACTCCAGATATAAGCAAAGCCAAAAGCAACCAAAAAAAAGTATACCCAATCAAACTCAGATATTGGATGCTTTTCTAGAGGGGAAATAGTGAAATAGGATAGAGCTAACTCACTCAATACTTATAGAAGTGCCAGGCTTTTTCTGCATAATGCTGGAATTAATTGGTACATGATTAGCCGCCAACTCATCGAACTGGCTGGCAGATTCAAAAGAAACCTAAACATATAAATCACATTCCCATCAACAACTTAAAGGTTTTGATGAATTGTTTTCTGCAGCATAATTAATAATGAAGTTTGGTCCATTTTGTAAGTATTAAATATTCCCAGCCCCCTGCTTTCAGGATGGAACTTAGAATGGCTTTCTCTCCATCATTGTATGTCCGACACATCAACTTGTCATATGAAATCTAAAAAATGATCCACTTCATAAAAGATTACAAAGTCCACCTGGTATTATTTAGCCAAAGAAAAAGATGAGAAAAAGAGGAATACGAAGAGGATTAGGAAAGTGAAGAGGATGCCGAAGGGAAGACGATGAGCCACGCACAGAGCGGCAAATAAATCCATCGGCGAGAAGGTCATAGCATCAAACAAACAAATCCTTGTTTGGAGCCCTTAAGATGAAGTCGAAGAGATCTGAAAGACTCAAAAAGAGAAGAGAAGAAGAAATAGGGAAAAGAAGATGAGGGAGGAAAAATTATATACTAGCCACATATATAAATGTTGGTGTTAGATGGAAGAGGTGGTCATGACAGGCTGAAATGACAACAAAACCTCAGATAAGAGTGCAGGGGAAATGATCTTCAATCAGCCATGTCCCATGTGAGATTCTTCTGTGAGGACCCACTTTCTTTCACGATGGCGTCTTCACCTTCTCCGTCACTCTTTTCCTCATCTATGACGCCTCATCTTTGCTATCCGTTACTTTCTTTATCAACTTCCCCATCCAATCCATACTCACCAGCTTCTTTTTCTCATGCTCGGTAGAAGAGGAAGAGTTGGGTAGAAGCTCCCCATCAAAATTTAAAAATAGAAAGGAAAAAAAAACCAGAGAGGAGTGGTGGGGAACGATGGGTGCACCGACGAAATGAAAAGGAGAAAATACAATCACTCTTGAGTGAAATAGAAAACCATTAGACATTGGGACTCTCAAAATTTGAAATTCAAAATTGTCATTGTTTACCTTATAGTTTAAAAAAAGAAAAAAGAAAAGAACACAAAGCCACATGCATAAGCCGTTCCTCTTCACAGAGCTGGTACTGTTCATAGCACAGTAAAATGAGTGAAAAGCCCCTGTGTATAAAAATATGGCTTGGCTTGGCTTTGATTTTTATTTAATAGATATATAGATTTGATGTACATTACACTTAGAATTTGATTATAGTGCCTTTCTTATAAATCAAAGAGGAAGCTTTTTTTATGAGGTGCCAACTTGGAATTTGATTATGGAATTAAAAATAGACTAAGTTTATAAGCCCTTTATTGCACCCTTCTTGTAAATCAAAGAGGAGGCTTTTTTATGTAGATTAGACTTGGAATTTGATGTACATTACACTCGGAATTTGATTATGGAATTAAAAATAGACTAAGTTTATAAGCTCTTAATTGCACCCTCCTTATAATTAGTTACGATGCCATTGGTAACGCAGAGAAATTGAGAGAGAGAGAGAGAAGGAGAAAAGGTATTGTCTTATTCATTGAATGGATCATAGACAGGGTTAGTGTTCTAACTAAATTACAGCTCTACACTAATAATCTCTAACCGAATGGTATTTATTTAACTAAGTCTGTTACCCCCGTAAGCTAGCGAGTATATATTGATCATTCCAAAATTAGACATTGAGCTCAAAAAGGGCTGAGGATCAAGGGGCTTGGTGAGAACATCTGCAAGTTGTTGTCAACTTCGAATGGGTAATAGATGAATGATGCCACCTTGAAGTTTTTCTCGGACAAGATGACAATCGATATGTTTAGTACGTTGATGGAAAGTAGGATTAGCTGCAATATGTCGAGCAGATTGATTATCACAATAGAGCACGGCCAGAGAAGAATAATTGATATGCAGATCAGCGAGGAGATAGAGCAGCCATTGTATTTCACAAGTGAGAGAGCCCAAAGCCGCTTCTGAAGAAGACCGAGATACTGTGTTTTGTTTCTTGGACCGCCATGAAATTAGAGCTCGCCCCAAAAAGACACAAGCAATTAACAGATCTACGAGTGTCACGACACCCAGCCCAATCAGAATCACTAAAAGCCTTAAGTTTGAAATTTGATGATGCTGGAAAGAAGAGACTTTCCCTCGGCTATGTTATGTTTGATATATCTCAAGACTCGAAGTGCAGCTTGATGATGAGTAGTTGTTGAAGCCTGAGTAAATTGACAAAGCTGTTGAATAAGAAATATCTGGGCCAGCTGTTGTGAGGTAAAGCAAGCAACCAACTAGCCTTCGATAGCTAGCTATATCAGTAAGAGGAGCGCCATGATCCTTTGATAGTCGTGTAGACCTATCCATTGGTGTCAAAACTGGCTTGCAGGCAAGATATCCAACATCAGAAAGAATGTCAAGAGCAAACTTTCGTTGGTTCAGAGTTATACCAGTGGTCAAGCAAGCAACTTCAAGGCCTAGAAAGAATTTGAGCTTGCCAAGGTTCTTTATCTTAAAGGATTCATCAAGAAACATTTTGATGTGTTTAATTTCATTAGGGTCATTGCCTGCAAGAATGATATCAGAGGTGGTATGACTGCACACAAATAATGAATAATCAGATTTGGACTGATTGTATCCACAAGAAGTAAGAGCAGCAGACAATTTGGCAAACCATTGACAAACCTTTGACGAGAGGCCTGTTTTAAACCATAAAGTGACTTTTGTAGTTTACATACCAGAAGTAAATCTAGGAGGCAAAGTCATATAGACTTCCTCATTTAAGTCCCCATGAAGGAAGGCATTATTGACATCAAGTTGCTCAAGATGCTAGCTAGAAGCTGTAGCGATTATTAACAAACTGTTCATTTTGGTGACTCGGAAAAAAGTATCAAAGTAGTCAGCTCCCTCTGTTTGTTGGTATATCCTTTTGCGCTACAAGATGAGCCTAATGTTCAAGACTCCCATCAACACGAAATTTTGTCCTAAAGACCCACTTACAGCCAATTGGAGATTTGTCCTTAGGTAACTCAGTCAATACCAAGTATGATTCTGCTCTAAAGCTGAAATTTCAGCTTGTATGGCTTGCTACCACTTAGGATATTGAATGGCTTCTCGATAGGATTTAGGCTTTAGGTTCACATGGAACAGTTATTGAAGAAACAAAATGTTTATAAGAAGAACACTCTGTAAAGGATATCTGCAGTCTGGAGACATGGAAACTGATTTATTAGTAGTAATTAAAGAACAGTGATAGTCACTTAGATATGTAGGTTGAGTTCTGATGGACCGGCAAAGAGGAATGGAAATTGGTAAAGAAGGAGAGTCAGAAGAATGTTGAGATAGAGGGCTATCAATGGAAGGAGATGATGGTGATGAAGTTGGTGGAAGTAAATCAAGAACTGATGGTGAAGGGACAGGATCATCAACAGGGGTAAAAGATTGGGGCAGAGGAATAGAGTTAGTATGTTGTGATAAAACACCAGTGATAAAACACCAATCTGGGAATCTGGGAATAGAACTATAACTGTAGTCAAAATAATAAAATATCACACTATGAATAGCCGATATTAAACCACTAAGATGCATTAGTAGGTAACAAAATATTAACCCAAACTTAGAAGTACTATCAACAAGTTCATAATAATTTTAATCGGTTTAGATTTCTCTATTTGTTAGTTTTAGTATTTAAATTAAATTATTTAGTTGAAAATCTGTTATTTATGAGATATACCATATTTTTACCGATTAAATTTAAGTTAAATAATTTATTTGGATTGCTTGACATATTATTGAGATTTTAATCGGTTTAGTTTTATTTATTAGGTGACTGGAGGTTTTAAAATAATTATTGTAGCTAAAAAGTTTATTATTTGTGGAAATATATATATGTGGTAGTTATACCATTAAAGTTTTTGATCAGATTATTTATTTATAAATACTTGAAGTATTATTGAATTTTTGATAGTTTGATTTTGAGGTTTAAACTTAAAAATGGGATTTTTAGAATTTAGAAAATGATAATTTTATATTTAGAAATTGTGGAAAATCCTTTTTATTAAGGTAAATAATTTGGAGGTGGTAAATAAATAATTTGGGTTATTAGGAATTTTAAGTTGTTTCTAAAATACTTAATAATTTTTGAGTTATGAGAGTTGCGGGAATTTAGAGTAAAAATTTAATTAAATTAGAAATTTAAATAATATAGAGAAGTTTAATTAATTAATAAATTAATTTATATTAATATGTGGTTATATTAATTGTGTAGATTAATTATTGGTTGAGCAAAGGATTGACATCTGAGACTCTGCATGTAACGTCCTTCGAAAGTGTTGACTTTTGACTAATGAGCTCTATAGTTTATATTAAACTGATTTATCAGTTTGTATGTTTGAAAATATAAGTTTGGTTTGGGCTAATGGTTGAATGATATTTCTAGACTTTGGAAGTCCAAGGCCCAAGGTAACGATCGAAATTACTCTTATTATAAGTTTATTTCTTTTAACCATGATAGCGATTTTAAAATTTTAAGGTTTCTTCTTTTCTATCATGGTTAATCATTCGAATAGATTGAAAATTTTGATCTAAATGGGTTTTAAAAAGAACGATTGTCACAATTTGGTATCAGAGCTAAAGATTCTGTGAAGTGGGTTGCATTCCATTATATTTAGTGGCAATATATAATAATCTCACATAACCTTCCCTGTTACTTTGTGCCTGTGCTTGACCTTACTTTGTATTTCTTTTGGTGGGTTCCATCCTTAGGTGGGGAGGATGGTACGGACACGATCCCGACAAACTGATCAAGGTGGGGATGAATCTACAAACCCACCTAATCAACCACCGAATCCTCTGCAGTTTAACCAAGAGACGTTACTGCAACAGCTAAGGGAAGTGGTAGTTACGGTGGTAGATGAGAGAGTAAGAAAGATGGAGGAAGATTTGAGAATCAAGAAAGCTGTGGAAGAGTTTGAAGGGAGTGGGCTTCCTGGGCCATCTGTGGGAAATTCTGTCACCCACAGGGGTTCTATTGAAGGAACCAGAGAAGAGAGTAGTTCACAAAGGCAACCAGGAAAAGAAGAAGCGGTGAACCTTAAAAGTGTATGGAAGGATATAGAGCGGCATCACCCAAAGACTTTTGATGGGGGTATGGATCCTGACAAAGCTGAGGCTTGGATCGATGATATGGAGACAATATTTAAAGCTTGTGGCTGTAATACCTACCAAAAGGTACAAGCGGCAGTAGTCTTATTGAGGGATCGAGCTAAGAGGTGGTGAAGGAGCGTAAGCAGCATAGATGACTCGGGGATTACTTGGAACGAATTCAAACAGATGTTCTTTGATCACTACTTTCCCCCAGCCATAAGACAAGAAAAAGAAACAGCTTTTTATGCTCTTCGACAGGAGAACATGCATGAGGACGAGTTTATTGCCAAATATATTGACCTCTCTAAGCATGTTACTTACCTACAGCAGAATGATAACCCAGAGTGGATGGCCAGACAATTAATAGAACGGGCGAGGCCAAAGTTGAAACAATAAATGGCTTTATATGAGTTTAAGAGTTTCGAGGATGCTTGTACGAAACTCAGGATGACAGCTCATAGAACCCGAGAGGTGGAGGAGAGCCGATGTCGGGATAACCAAGGCAGATTCTCTGGTTTTATGAGGCCAATGGGGGGAATCAATAAAAAGAATAACTACAGTTATGGTAGCTCAGGTAACTCAAGCAGAGGCAAGGGCTAGAATCAAAAGAATTCAGCCTGTGGAGGCTTTATGCAAAAGAGACAGGCTCAGGGGAGCCGTATAGGGGGAGATCAGAGTGTCCCCCATGAGCCTGCCAGATCTACACCAAGTGTTAGTGGTCCTTGCATGAGATGTGGGAGAAATCACCCAGGACAGTGTTGGGAATGCTACAGATGCCATAAGTTTGGACATATAGCTTGCAATTGTCCAGAGACACAACAGCAAACTCCTAGTTTCATATCCATGGTGCTTGGGAGAGTTTTTGCTCTGACTAGAGAGGAAGCTGGTA